CCTCCCCTCCCTCCTCCCTCCCTCCTTTTATTTTCTAAACTTTGGGGAGTGACGGGGACTTTAAGCTGCTGGGGATGCGCACAGAAGTCAGGAGGGATTTCCGTTGGATTTCTCAACCCCAGGTCACTGGCCTGGAGCCCATCCCGCCAGTGAGACTGTGATGATGCAACAGGGTTTCAGGAAGCCTTCGGGAATGGCTCCCGGTCAGCGGGGGGATCTGGATCTAGGCACACCCTGCACTGTGGGCTCCAGAGCCTCTGATCTCTTCCTTCCCCATCATTCAGCTTTGCCAGTTCACCCTCGGAGGAGGGGGCAGGGACGACCCTTCCTGCAGCCCCTGCCCCTCTGCCTCACACCCCACGCCTTACACCCCATGCCCCGAGCCACAGCCAGGATCGGACCTGGGTCCCCGCTGCAGCTGGCCCCTGGCAGCGTTCTCGAAGCTGCTGAAAATAGAAACCGGTGGGACTCGCACCATTGGGAAATGCAAACACCATTATCTCTCCCTCAAGGGCACGAGGAGAGAAGTCTGCACTGACACTCCCAGCCGGGTCAGGGCTGCACGGCCGCCAGCCGGATGCTGACGACCTGAGAACTAGCAGGTCCCTTTGGTGGCCCCAGATCCATGCACAGCGTGTCCCAGGGGTCACCCAGGGCCGAGCAGCCACGAGAAGTACAGTGCCACCTGCACGTGTGAGGTTGACTTTCCCTGTAGACACATTTAAACACATAAAAAGAAACAGGTGAGATGAATGTTACCAACCGAGTAATGGAGCCCCCTGTACCTCACAGGACACCATGTTTCATTTCACATGTAATCAGGATGGAAAGATTATCCGTGAGATGTCGTACATCGAGTCTTCCTCCTAAAGCCGTCCACATCTAGTGTGTATTTTACCCTCAGGGCACATATACGGATCCACATGGGCCGCATGGGAGTGGTAGTTACTGTACTGGACAGATCTAGCTTATAGATGGAGAAACTGAGGCAGCCACTAGGCCTGGGCGTGGCCGGGGCGGGGTCAGGAAGCAGGGAGGTGGGGCCTCCAGCTCAGGCCCTGGGGAGCCTGTCCCCGCTGCGCCCTCTGGTGTCCGCCCCGCGT